AATAACATATACTATATATATATATATATATAGTATATGTTATTTAATATAATATTTTTTAATTAAAAAAACTATTTATCTTCTATGAACTCTAATATCTTTTTAATTTTCACGTGGTTTTACTTTAATGGATTCAAAGTAGATTAGACAGAAGAAAACAAAAGGAGGTCATACTTTAATGATCATTATTAACCATGGGAGGTACAAAACTTCTTTTCATTTGTCTTCCTCCACTAGCTTTTAGAGGAATCTAGAGAGAAATATAACTAATGTCCAATCTAAAATTTCTTTGTCCACCAATTACCACTACAAGCATGTTTAGTAGCTCTAAGAATGATTTTTACAAATTAATTCATCAAATTGTGTTATAAATTGAAACTGTTCTTATTATGGGTAATCTATGTGAAGGTTAATTTTATCATGAGTTGGGTAGGTAGGAAGGCCTACTTGCTTTCTCCATTTACACACTTCTTTGAGCCTTTGAATAGAATATAACCTACATGCTTTTGTGTTAGCATATTACATATAAAATCTAAAAGTCGGATCTCTCATTGCTTTCCAGATGCTTCAACCACTTAAATTCTTTTACGGTGACTCAATCATCTCCTACAATTATTTTAGTGTTCTACACTCTGATTAGATTATTACATGTGTTCTGCCATCCTGAGCTTTCCAAGTATCAAATTCTTATAAATCAGCACTCCTTGGTGGTTCAACAGCTTCTGCTCCTCATTTATACCAATTTGGGTGGTATGGCTTTCCAGCTCGAATTAATAGGACCACACTATACGATAGTGCTTGCCTAAACCATGTAATCTTATTTAACTTGCTCATAATTATCTTGATAAGATGTCACACGATCATGGTTGATCGGATGATCCAGCTTGTGTGGGTCGTTCATGCAGTGATATTACCATACCATAGTTTCCTATCGATTTGCTAAAAGATTAGTAACGAGTGTTCACGCATTACTAGCCATTAGTACATGTTTAACCCGTGGTTCACATGATTATATTTGGTCGACAAGATTCCATAGCCTTGGGAAAGAAGGAATGGATTTGGTTCGATCAAGGAACATATCTTCCGTGACAATAAGCTTCCGTGACCTCAACTAATTAAGTGTGATAATAGTTGGATAACTTTGGCGCTTGGCATTAACAAAATCCATGGGTGATCATATAGTAATTTTGTATTTTCCCGTGTTTTTCTTCCGGCATATATTGGTCAATAGAAAAAAAATTCACTTAAAATATAATTCCTCAGGAGATAATTGTGATGGGAGGAAATCTACTGATTACTTATCCTAGACCCTCTGCTCTCGCCTATAAATAGACAGGACCTCTAAGAATTAAAAAAGTTGACATCTATGTTATAGATAAGACCTCTAGGGATTAAAGAAATTGACATCTCATAGAAGTTATAGTTGAAAGATTTTAGTATCCATCAATTTAGATAGTTCTGTGAAAGAATAGGAAGAGAGGAGAAGGATATAATTAATCTTTACATATTGATAACGATCTTGTATTAAAGACGGTGTCTTTATAAATTAAATAGAGATCTTTTTTTAGATGACATCAGGTACATATCGTTAAATCAGATTTAAAAGATTGTTTCTGTATTTAATATAACATATTACAGATTTTATGCTTAGCTTAGCCTTAACAAAATTCATGGGTAATCATACAGAGATCTCTTCCTTCGTAGTATTGTTAATTATACTGCAAGCATGAAAATTCATCATAAATGCAATATGTTCTACGTTATGGATCAAATCATGTCATTATATTCCCTAAGAAAAGAGTTAATACATGCATGATATGTCATCGATCTCGGCTTCGAGAAATTTCATGCATATAATCCCGCGGTCGAACCTTTTCAACTTCGAGCAAATTATATTTATTCGCCACTTTTATTGCTGTTATTTTGGGAATTCAATATGGAGTCGTATTATGACATCACACTTGGTACTTTATACATGGCATATTACATATTTGGCCTTGATGTTGGAAATCAAAGCTACCATCAATTTATGTGCCGTATTGTGCACAAAACATCTCGAATGCCAAGAACAAGTTGTCTTCTTAAAGAGAACAGAAACAGGGGGACAAGGTGGTGTCATGCTTATCATCAGCTGTCGTAGGTCAGCGTGGGTCCTACACAAACTTTTCCACTAAAAATCTCTAATGGATGTGTGATTGGCAT